CCTTCACCGTCCCTATTCTTGAACCACGAATTCCATAGGATCTTGTATTTTTCTTGTGTACCTGCTCTGCACTTGTTGTAGAGCATAGCTTGAATCAGTATTTTTTACCTATTTTTGACCTCTCGTTTTGAAATACATCTAGCAGGTGTGGCCAGTACTCTGTTATTCTCCTACATATAGCTGTATATGCATCTAAAAGGGCAAGTACTTGGATGACCTTGACAATATCATACTGATTGTAATAACTTGCATAAGACTCTGTATTTGAAGATGTCCCGGTCCTGCATTATTTGACAGAATTACCATTAAAGAAAATTTAGGACAGAAATATATTTCCAGGACAGTCCAGAGAAAAAGTCTGGTATTTATGGGGTACCACTCAAACTACCGCTACGCACAAGGCTGGTATTTCAATTCGGTTTGCCATACTTCTAGTTTTATTTTAGGGTTCTTTATAAATATATGTAGGTATTATGATCCATTGCAAATATAAGGAGTGGATAAGCTGAAACTAGAATAAGCATCTTTTTTGCTCTGATGGATCAGTTTCTCATTGTTAATATTTATATATTTTCTTCTGAGCACCTGTTTCTTCATCATATATATGTGGGAAAAAGGAAAACTTCTATGATAGACAGTAGTAGTTTCAGACTGTCTACGATCACAGTAATTCAGATTCTGAAGCTTGTATTGTCCTTAATGAGCTAGTAATAAAAAGATAACAACCTTCCGAGAGGTGTTGCCAAACCTGGGATGTAGATAATCAAACAAATGCAGGGCTGGAGACAATTATTTGCTGGTTTGAGCCTCAATTACATCCTGATGACAGTCTTGCACATTCAGTTTTACATTCTGAACATAAGCAACATTACTAAATCGCATGCTCTGTTCATGTTAAGTTGTTGATTGCAAACATCACAAGGCAGGAGAACACACATTTTTTTTATTCACATAGTGTTCATCAATATCTTTTATACATCAGTAAACTCAGCATTCTACAGGAGAATAAAGTTCAGAAGGAAAAACCATCAAGAAAGCATCAACTATACCCGATTTCTTTTTTGAGTTTCTGATTGTGTCGTCTTGCTGGGTGAAACATGCCAACCAAGGATATGCGGCACTCCAATTCCCCTATGCCAGCAAGCATACATGATTCGGTTTACTATACAAAATATGGAATGCCTGTCCAGATTAAAAATAACATTGCTGGATAAAGATCCGAGTTGGTTCTCGGTTGAAACTAATTTGAAGCTTTGCATTTTTCTTATAGCTGGCTGATATACTTTTTATTTTTATAAAGTATATATCTTTTACATTCTGCAATGAAGAAAAACTATCATGCCTATAGTGCGAAGATGTCTGTCCAAAGATGCTTTATTTGCTAAGCTACATGAGTTTATTCACAGTTCTTATCTGAAAAAGATAAGCGAACTGGCAGGTGGATCAGCAGCATTTGTCTATGCTCGAATAACCCTCTTGAGTTGGTATGTGTGGCTTTCTTTCTATTCAGTAGAGAAGGGGTCAGATGTCAGATTTGTCTAACCACTAGGACAGAAAAGTTCATGCTTATACTGATGCTTGAAAATTCAATACTTATTTGTGATGCAGGTTCCCTTACCACAGGTTGACAGAAATGTTCAAAAAGTTGACGGTGGAAGTAGTTCAGTATGGATATAGTTCACATAGTTGTGATATTTTTAGTGGAACAAAGTATTGTTTCTTGCTGAACCTGTAACCATAATTAGCATTTTCTCTTTTGAGACATAGTTAGTAAACTATATTTATCATTGGTGTTGCACTATTGGTCCGACTTTGGCATGTCAGGTTATATGCATGTGTGGATGCAAGTTGAATATTTGTTCTCTTGCGAACTGTGTATTTAATATATTTTTTCGTTCAAATTTCTGTATTAAATTTTAGTCCCAAATGTCCTGAACTTTTTTTAGAAAAGAGGGACAAACATTATTCTGCTATTTATATGAAAATATTGTGAGAAAAAATGAAGTTATTTGTGGTGATTTTTTATTGTAATGATATTTTTCTTTTACACATTTTGTCCTATTGGATGGGCATGTCCCGTTCTGGTATTGCCTGCGGGGATTTCTCTTCCCTCCCCTTTGGTGTCCAAATGGCAAAGTGTATTTCCACATAGTGGGAGGGGATCTCGTATGGGCAGGGAAATCCCACATCGGGGGTAATACTACCCAGGATTTTTCATCCTCAACAACCAAACTAGCCTTATTAATGTCAGCTGCCGCCGTCGGCCTCCCGAGTCAGCCACGCGGCCGCCACGGCTCCAGAACGGCAGAGCACACACACGCACAGCCGCCGCCATCGAACTCGCAGGTGCCCACTGACTATACGTGCCACTCGGTGATAGTAGAGCATATCCACAGTAGGAAAATACTCCTGTCTCATAATATAAGAGTATTTTTTACATTAATATAAAATATGCTCTTATATTATAGGACGAAGGGTGTATGTAAGAAAACAGGAACCGAAACTGCACGCACAAGAAACCTAACCCAAAGTTGTACCCGTGTACGAGCAATCGTTTTCCTCCTGTAGTGAAACCTAGCCGCCGCCACCAGGAGAGCCCCTCCTTCCCGTGCCATCTTCTGGCGGCTCTCCTTCGCTGACGACTTTTTAGTCGTTGGTGGTGAGGGGGGTTGCCGAATCTCCTGTGTGTGGTCGTTTTAGCTTTAGGTTTTACGGCCCAAGAAGCTTAGGGTTTTGGATCGTTCAACGTCTTGGCTTCGACGGCGGCGACGGCGATATTGAATAAAGAAGCTTCAAATTCTTCTTCACTGAGGCGATCGTTTCTATTGTCGGTGAAGGATCTGGGAACCAGTCTATTCAAGCGGAGATGTCGTGACGGCGGCGGCATCCTTGTGGTGGACATGTGTCCTCGAGCTTTGCTGTTGCGACGACGTCTGCTCCAACATCGGCGCGGAGCTTGGGAGGTAGGTAGTTGAGGAGCGGATGCAGACCGACATCTGGAAGACAAAGCGTGTGCTGGGCTCGTGGTTCGTGGATGGCAAGTTTTGTTTTCTCCTCCGACGTCTTAGTCATGTGCGGGTGCTAGATCTGAAGTTTGATGGCGTGTCCGGGGTGTTGCCCCGGTCTGATTTGTTCAACGGTAATGGTTTCGTTTTTAGCAAGCCACCTGAAAGGTCCACAAAGCTGCATATCAGCGATGGAGCCGCGTCGAGCTCGAGTGAGAAGATGATCCGTCATTTTATTCTTTCGGTGGTTGCTATGATGGTACCGGGGGCAGGTGTGGTGTCAAGCGCAAATACGTTCTGCTATCTTTTCAGTTTTATCATGTGTGTCTTTATGTGAATTATACTTTAATCTTTATGATATGAATGAGACATATATTATATTATAAAAAAAAGGTGTACCCGTGCACCAACCAACGGTGGGCGGCCGGCTACCGACTCCGTCGCCCTTTTCCGCCGTCGTCCTCAACCAATCATCGAATCACCACCAAACAAGCGTCCAACCGAAACCTGTCTTCGCTTCCACGGAACACCTCCCCACCCCGATACGCGATCCCCGTCCCACCACGCCACCACCTGGCGGCGCATCACCCGGCCGGTATATAGGACGATCGAGCTGCCGGCGGATCGTCCTCCCCTCACGTTACGTCGATCCCCTTCCACGTCCGCTCACCGCTTCTTTAATCCCGCCTCCCCATTTCTTTATCCCCGCCACGCAGATCGGGGGTCATCACCCCATCATTCTTCACCTGCCCGCACGGTGGTTGCACCGATCGGGATTCGGGACACAGCGAATGGAGGCCGCGGCAGCGCCTCGTTTGACCTACCCTTGTATACTGCCCTGAGCTCGTACGGCACGGGGGATCGCTGGATGCCCACGTTCTCCGTCCGCCCGTCCGTCCGTCCATGGAGCGCAGGTCAAAAGAAAAGAATAGTTCAACAGCCAGATGGGGCCGAAGTTGCCGTGTTGCTGGACTTGGAGGCACCTCCCCGTCTACGCCAAGCCACCAATGGAGACGCGCACGGAGCGTAATGGCGGTGCGTTCTTGACCGACCGGGCGGCCGAGATGGACGGCCCTTACGTCGCCGTCGTCGGTCAGGCCGGCGGCGTCGAGGGCAGCAGGGTCGGCGCCACCAACATCGGGAGGCTGCGGCAGGGGAAGGCGGCCAGGGGCGGCGTCAACGTCTCCTCGTGGCACCTCAGGGTGTTCGCCGCCGTGGTCGGGGTCATGGGCTGCCTCCTGCTCGCCGCCTCCCTCGTCATGTCCGCGCTTCACCAGGTGCAGTTCCGGAACGGCGCCATCTCCGTCAACTTCAGGGGCCTCCAGGTATTTCCTCGCCGCCTCCCATCAAATTCAGAAAAATCGCATGTTCGATCACGATTACCTGCCTGCCCGGCCATCACTGATCCCTTAAGTTTTCTTCTCTATCGCGTCTGAATTTAATCTTCCTCTCTGATTGTACGATCGCTGTACTCGTTCATCTGGTCTCAGACTGCAACATTTTAAAATTTTCTGCGCCTGTTCTCTCGTGATAAAATCTCTCGACCTGATGAATCAATTTCTGTGAATGAAGGAGCTCAAGCACAATTTCGTCAAGAAGGAGCAGTCAGAGCAGATAATGCATGAAAGACTTCTACAGATGGCAACTTTAGCCACCACCAAGGTTTGATCCTGCCAGCATAGCCATTACCACTAGTTACTTTCTGCAACTGTATTTGGGAAGTTGGTATATCTTCACTTTTACTGATGCTGCACTTTTCCCTTCCTGCCAGTGCAGAACGAGTCAGATGATGGAAATTTCGCATTATGGGAGGAACCCTACAAACAGGCGCGCAAATGGACGCCCTGCGCCGCCAAATACACCTTGGAAGAAGGTGAAGCTTCATTCAACCAAATGCAAATAGTTACTGTCAGTACTTTTTTAGGTTTTTTTTGCTTCTTGACACTGAATTTGGTTAATCTCAGAGCCTAGCGACGACAACAATGGATTCATTCTGATCAGCGCAAACGGTGGCCTGAACCAACAGCGCGTCGCCGTAAGGATATAGTGTTTGGATCATCACAAGATCGATTCAGTTTTGATACTATTTGGTACCTAAACGAGCTTCACTCTTCCTCCAGGTGTGCAATGCTGTTGTCGTTGCAGCTCTGCTTAATGCCACACTGGTTCTGCCCCGGTTTCTTCACAGCAGCGTGTGGAAGGACAAAAGGTTAGAACTTTTAACTGAACCGTGTGACAAATACGTACTACAGTAGTAGTTACTCATTTTTCTCTCCGACATAGTAGCCATTCATCAAATTGTAGAGTTAACTGAATTTCTCCTTTTCTACCAGTCAGTTCGGTGACATCTACCAGGAAGACTACTTCGTGAACTATATGAAGAGCGATGTGCTCATCGTGAAAGATTTACCGCCCCATCTCCAGTCGCTGGACCTCGAGGCAATCGGTAGCCAAGTTAGTTCCTGAACCATGTCCTGAAAGTTCAGACTGTTTTGTTTCTTCAGTGCCCTTTATTCATCTCACCCGCCCCCTTGATCACAGGTTATCGACAACGACATCTCCAAAGAGGCTGAACCATCTGAATTCATCAGAACTGCACTCCCCATTCTTCAGAAAAATGGTGTTGTTCATTTCCTCGGGTTCGGTAACCGGCTTGGCTTCGACTCGGTGCCTGCCGATCTGCAGGTAACATTTCATCCCCCTTGACATTGTTTTTCAGATGAACTGATGAACAATTCACACCGCACCACCTCCTTCAACAGGCCCTAGTTTTTTTATCTTCCAAGAAACACGCCCCTGTTTGCTCATCGGATGTTTGCATGGCTTTGCAGAGGCTGCGGTGCAGATGCAACTTCCACGCTCTCAAGTTCGCCCCCGAGATCCAGAAGCTGGGCTCGCTGCTGGTCCAGCGGCTGCGGGGGGTGAGCGCGATGCAGACGGAGATGGACAAGCAGCTGTTCGGAAGCAACATGCTGGAGCGGCCGTTCGGGGAGAAGGGCGACGACGCCGGCGGGCCGAGCAGGTACCTCGCTCTGCACCTGAGGTTCGAGGAGGACATGGTCGCCTACTCCCTCTGCGAGTTCGGCGGCGGCGAGGAGGAGAGGAGGGAGCTGCAGGCCTTCAGGGAGACCCACTTCCCGGCCCTCGTGACGCGCCTCCGGAACACGTAAGCGCGCGCGTCGCCATTGCCGATCACGCTGCTCTGCCAAGATCTTCACTGATTGGTTACTGACATTATGTTGCTGCGGTGGTTGTGTTGTGTATGGCCAGCACGGTGTCGCCGGAGGAGCTGCGGAGCCAGGGAGGTGCCCGCTGACGCCGGAGGAAGCCGGGCTCATCCTCGCCGCGCTCGGCTACGACCGGGGGACGTTCATCTACGTGGCCGGGTCGCAGATATACGGCGGCGCGACGCGGCTGCGCCCGCTCACGCGGCTGTACCCGAACCTGGTCACCAAGGAAGACATCCTCTCCTCCGACGAGCTCGCTCCGCTCAAGAACTTCTCCTCCCGGGTAAGCGATCGAAATCATTTTCTTCTCGCGACAGTTTCTGAATCTGAACTCTCTCAACCCTGTCGACCGACGAGTCTGACTGACTGACTGACTGGCCGCCGTCCCAGCTGGCGGCGCTGGACTTCATCGCGTGCGCCTCGTCGGACGTGTTCGCGGTGACGGACTCCGGCAGCCAGCTGTCGTCGCTGGTGTCGGGGCACCGCGTGTACCACGGCCGGGGCCGCGCGCCGACGCTGCACCCGAACCGGAAGCGGTACGCTCAGATCCTCTCCGAGGAGGGCGGCATCGAGTGGGCCGGGTTCCAGAGGAGGGTGAGGGCCATGGTGGACGAGTACAAGCGGGTCCGCGCCCGGCCCAGGGGCCGGACCGTCTACCGGCAGCCCAGGACGCCCGGGTGCATGTGCAGGGCCGGCGGCGACGACAGCATCGACTTCTGAATTTTCTGTTCTGACACGTTGCCCATTCCTCTTTTTTTGTGGTTATTTGTTTCGTTCTTTTGTGCATACATTAACTTGTAATATTTTTCTATAGCTCTAGGGACATGGCAGGTTCAGTTGAGAGGTATATAGTACATGCAGTTTGATAGATTGTAACAGAGGGGTTTTGCTGGGGAGAGTTGTACAGAAAGTGACATATATCATGCTTAGAGCCTGTTCGGATGCACTCCCCTCCTTCAAATCTTCCACTCCACTCCCAGCTCCTGGACCGATGGCTCCTTCCAACAAATCGAGAGTTTACAAGATGTTTGGCAACTGACTCCACTCCAGGGAACGGCGCTAGTGGGTGGGCCGTCGAGCTCCTCCACTCCGTCGTCGGCCGCGTCGAGGTCGCCGACGTCGTCCCTCCCGGCGCTGGTCGTACTGCCGTGCGCGGACCCATTGGAGCTCATCCAGAGGCCGGCGCGGACACCGCTGCGCGGGCGTGTGCTGTACTTCTCGGCGGAGTTGCTGGCGGCACTCAAGGAACAAGCTAGGCAGGAGCTCCTGGAGGCCGGGAACGCGGCGGGTGCGGCCGCCCTGACGCGGTTCCAGACGTTGGGCTCGCTGATGTGGCGGTGCGTCACCCGCGCTCAGCGGCTGGTCCCTGACCACGTGTCCGTGTTCCGCGTGGCCGTCAACAACCGAAGGTGGCTCCGGCCGGCGCTGCCGAGGGAGTACTTCGGGAACCGCATCCACGTCGTCAGCATAGAGTCCGCGCGCTCTTCAGACCTGCTGGGGCACGGCGGGCACGGGCGGAGGCAGCGGCCCTGGAGCGCGCGGTGGTGGCGTACACGGACGCGGCCATCAGGGAGCACGTCGCGGCGCGGACGGCAAGCCCGCCAGGGAACAACGCTAGTGGGTGGCGGCGGCGTGGCGCTTGGGTTCAATGGTCGGAGAGTAGCTGCGAGAGAGAAAAAAATTTCGATCGATCTGGCGAAGGGAGTCGCCCGCGGAGCTCGCTATTAGCCACTCCGCCGAATTGAATTACATGCAGCTCCGCTCCACTCTTTCTACTCCGAGGAGCGGTAGCGTTCGGCGCCACTCCGCCCGCTCCGGGCGCGGAGTTGCGGAGCGGAGTGCATCCGAACAGGCCCTTAATTACGTCTTACGAATATTATTTCCTTTCGAATGGTATGAGATATACAACGAAATTTAGGGATTTTTTTAAGAAAATTCCATGAAGCTTTATTGAACTGCCATAATGTTTACACATGCAAATAAAGATCACCGGGTGCACCTAAGCAGACATGGCGGCCTACCCCTAGATGTAGCATGCTTCGTTATATTGCGGGTCCTGAAATTCGATCTCCTAAACTCATGAACAAAATTACTCAAATCGGCACTACTAGAGTACTCTATGATTTCATATATAATAGCTCCGTATACAGTTGCACTTTGATTTTTTGTATCATCTACCACCACCTTGTTGTCTGACGTGACATGGACCCTTTGCAAATTCAGGTCTTCTGAGAGAGCCAAAGCTTCTCTAACTACAAGTGCTTCGAGTGTCCCAGGGTCAATGATTCTCTTTGTTACGATACTCGAAGCTCCAAAAAAAGACGCATCGTTATGATCTCTATGACTGAGGCAGCAGATGCAATGCTAACACACCTCATGACGGCAACATCGACATTCACCTTGGCTAAACTCTCTCAGGTGGAGGGATCCACTGAGTTGGTCGAACTGGTTGCACCGTTCAAAGTAACGGACAAACACATAGAGCATCCCCCGACTGGGTCGGCCCCGGGTACTGATCGATCAGAACGATCGATCGAGCGATTCCCCTCACGTTGGGTTACCCTTCCTCTCGGCGACTCCTGGAGGCGCCGTTGAGATCTACCTCTCCCCTCACCGTTCTTCCCCCAAGCCCTGGCCGGACTTGGACTGATTACGGGGCGATCTCGCATCGCCGCCCGGTCTCGGACTAGCTAGGGTTTTTGGGGGGTAGAGGGTAGCTAGGGTCTCTCCACCCGGTGATTTCTTGTTTCGTCGGGTTAGGGTTTTTTGACCAGATGGCGAGTTCGGCTTCAGGCGCAGGCTCGGGAACAGACGACGTTGAAGAGATGATGAAGAACCTGGGCTTGACGGAAGATGACCTAGATGATGTGGTCTTCGAAGATCAACAGGTTCCATCAGAAGCGGCCGTCAGGTGGATGGCTGTGGCACGAGTTCATACACCCAAAGAATACAACCAGTACTGGTTTTTTCGCAACATGAGGGCTGCGTGGGATCTGGCTCAGGAAGTAAAAATCCGCCCCCTCGAGAGCAACCTATACACGATGCAATTCTCGTGTTTGGGTGACTGGAACGTGTGATGGTTGAGGGCCCGTGGACTTTCAAGGGCAATGCGGTGGTGATGGCGGAATATGATGGATTTACAAAGCCATCGGAGGTTAACCTGGACATGCTGGATATCTGGGCGCAGATACACGATCTGCCTGATGGCTACTTTCCCATGGTGAAAGCCCTGGCCGGAAAAATTGGTGAACTCATATATGCTGAACCGAAGTCCCAAGATTTTGAAGAAAATTTCGCGCGTGTCAGGGTGAAGATCAACGTCCACAAACCACTCAAGAACGCAGTCACGGTGGTGAGGGAGGGCAAAAGGAAGGTTTTCTTGGTCAAATATGAACGATTGCCCGATTGGTGTGCCGTCTGTGGCCATCTGGGCCATCAATTCAAGGAACACGGTGACGGTGTTCATCCACCGCAGGCGCTGGTCTTTAAAAATGTGACGCCCGGATAATTAAGCTACAGTAATTCTCTGCTAATGGTGCCACGTCACCACGATTACTGTTGCTAATCTCTCGTTAGTTCAAAAACCGGTTCAAAATTCAAATTTAAAATAAAGTCAAACAGTAAAAGTTTTCAAACTTTAAAACTAAAATGTTCGCATTGTTCAATAATTTCCCTGATCATTTGTCATGTTGAACCCAACCTTATTTGACCCACCAATTAACCCCTAGGAATTTATAAAGTGGTCCAACGGCAAATAAAATAGCCATTTCAAAATAAGAAAATATTTATACAATTCCAATTGACCTCAAACTTGGTATGTCATCCCAAAATATTGTGAAGTATTTAATTGACAAATTTCATCTACAACAAAATTCATTTAGTTCGAACTTCAAACAGAAACAGAGGAGAAATGCAAAACAGTAGTAGAATAAGAAGATTGGATATGGTACTGTGCACTTTGGCCCATTTAGCAACAGGAGCTAGGCCAGCCCAATTCCCCCTCTCCTTCTAAACTCTGTTCACTGAGCAGAGGCGTGACAGCCATCCACGGCCATGGCCGTGCCTTGGCGTGCGTGGCGGCCATCCGTGCCTCCCCTCGACCTATAAGGCGTCCTCCCGAAACCCTAGCCCTCTCTCATCCGGTTCGTCTGTTTCCCCATCGCGCCCCCTCCTCATCTGCTCGAAATCGAGCTCAAAGGCTCGTGCGGTGGCCGTGCTCGTCGTCACTGTTGCCATGGCCACCGCCGTCCCCGTCGCAGGAGAAGGAGTCCAGGAGATCCGCCGCTGTCAGCTTCGTCCGTCCCGGGCACCAGCTCAAGCCAGAGCGGCCCGTGCACACGCCATCGCCGTCGTCTTCGTCACGTATATCGCCGACCGCCGTCGTCGATTTCCACCGCTTCGGTCTACCCCCGGCCTCCTCGACCGTGCCCCCGAGCTCGCTGTGAGCTCCTCTCCCGGATCCCCTCCCCCCCTGCTTCG